TTCTCACTGATTCTACCTATACGCGACTTTAATCAATCTTTTCAATAATTTTTTATTTCACCAACCTAATCTTCCTCCTCCTCCATTCCCCATATCTCTGCACAAAGTACTCTCCCAATATTGTCTCCATTCTCCTGTACAGCTCCCCTATGTCCTAAGGGCCTTCTATCATTTGTTACAATAATGTAGCTGCTCATTTTTAGCCTCCAACTCGAGACCCTCAAAGACCTTTTACTGACTTAACACCACCGGTAAGCCTCTTTCCATATTCCATGTACTCACCCAACAAACCTTTACCAATGTTCTAACTTCCTTCCACCTTTCCTCTCAGCTGAATCTTCTTTAATCAAGCCTTTAATTTTGGTCCAATTACTTGGCCCTTTGCCTGGACTCCCTACATACCAATCTATCTTCAACAGTTTGTAAAATACAAATACCAGTCGTTTCCAGTTGGCACAAATTAAAAGTTACAAAATTTGACCACAAAAGTGAACATACCGAATACAATAAATAAAAATGATCTTAGTAACTAGAAAAGAGTACTTTTTACATTATTAAGACCTGCATATAAAGTCAACTTAGCAAGGCTATAAGAGATCTAACATAAAAAAGCACATCTGGTGAATATTTCTTGTCCATCATAATTCTCCTTATGCTGTCACACAGCAATGGCAGTCATCTGACAGAGGAAGTAAAGTGCCTTCAAATAGCTCAGTTAAGCTTGCATTCACCAAATCAGATTTTTTTTCAGTTATAAAACATTTAGAAGGCCAATCTGACCTGCAACAAAATCAGGAGTTACTTCAAGAATTCAATGCAGTTGTATCTGAATTCTTACATGACATAAATGCTCCAGTTGTATGAAACAGTATATCCTCCAACTTAAGATATTGGAGAAAAAGATTACTAAAATTTCAAACTTCAAAATACGTATCTTGATCTGTTCATAAAGTTCCAAGGGGATCAAAATTGCCAGCAACCTAGACAAATATTCAATTTTAATTGACATTTTTGAAGCACTCCATTACTACTAGTAATTGAACTTATAGAACTGTAACTGAATGTCAGCTTCTTGCACAGTAATTTAGTATCGGTCATATATAATTACCGATTTAACTATGTAAATACGTGGTTTGGACTTCTAAAACTGATTTACAGATCTAAAAAATTAATTTTATCAAATTCCTACTTACACATTGTTACTCAGATTAAGTTACTGTATATTTCTAATAATTCAGTCATTTTTACAAAGAATTGTATCACAGAAACTTAGAAGATAGGAGTAGTCCCTTTAAGCATGGTCTGCCACTTAATATGATCATTACTGATCAACTTGGTACCTCACTCCTGCTTTTGCCCTATTCCCATGTGATCGCTTTAGCCTAAAGAACTATATCTAACTCCTTCTTGAGAACAACGTTTTGCTCTCAAACGCTGTGGCAGAGAATTCCACAGGCTCGCCATTCTGGGTGAAGAGATTTTGCTCTTCAGTCTTAAATAGCCTACCCTATTTCCTAAACTGTGACCCCTGGTCATCAGGATAATTCTGTGTTTACCTTGTTTAGACCTGTTAGAGTTTTATGGGTTTATTGGAGATCCCCCATTATTCTAAAATCCAGTGAACGTAATCCTAACTGATCCAGCCTCTCTTCGTTGATTCCTAGAATGGCAGGAATCAATTTGTTTGTTAAACCACTGTTGCACTCCTACCATAGGCAGAAAGTCCTTCCTCAGTGTGGTATCTGTATGCAGAATGAGTACCAAATACTCAAGAGACTAGAATTACCCTCCACACATACAGCTTTTTCAAACCCATCAACTGCATGGTAAAATTGAGATGTGATAAGCATAACATGCAGGGAATCTCAACTTCCCATTACTTGGTCCATAATCCTGTCACATTAACATTTCTGTACATACCACGATTTGTATAATCATTACTACATAAATCTGACAATTTGAAGGTCTGCGCAGATTTGATAAATCTTCATCTTATAACAGTTTATAGGAGCAAGAATAGGTCACCCCAAACAGTTCTGTAAGAACTTGCGTCAAGTGACTTGGAAAACAGTTGCAAACAGAGCCAAAACATCCATCTATTAATTTAGTTCGATGTTATCTCTCACATTTCCCCTATTGAGCTACCAATGAAAACAGCACAATTCACTGCACCCAGATTCAAAAATGATAAGTCCTGGAGATACAGTAAACATGGTTACAGATGACAATTGTGGCTGAAAGAAACAAACTAGTACACTAGAAACAACTAGGAGACTAGTTGGCTATGCTTAAATTTGATCAGTTACCATGGTTGGATCAGACATCCATAATATTGAGGGAAGGAATGGTGGAAGTTTGCAGACGCTGTGGCTACAATTTTCTAATCTTCCTTACATGCAGAGATGATGCTGGAGATTTGCAAATGCTAAAAGATGTGCAAGATTTCTTCTTCAAATAAGGCTCAACCGTGACAGGCCAATCAGTTTAACCTGGATGGTGGGGAAGTAATTTAAAACAATAATCGTGTCAAATTAATGGTCTCTTGGACAGGTATAAATTAAATAAGGAACGCCAGAGTGGACTTATCAAGGACATACCATGTTTGATTAGTTTCTGACTAGGTCAGAGAAGGTTGGAGGAAGATAATGCAACTTCAATTATTTATTACAAAAATTGTCAGAGCACCAACTCCAAGCACCTCACTTTAGAAATGACGAACATATTGGAGAGGTGCAGAAAATATTTAGGAGAATGCTTTCAAGGACAAGGATCTTCAGAGCGATTTGATGGAAGTACCTGAAATTATAATATTTCTGCATCAAATAAATAACAAGACGCTATTCCCATTGGCAGAAGGGTCAAGAACAGAGCACTAATTTAAGATGATGATTAACAAAGATAAAACAAGGAAAAACACAATGCAGCAAGTGGTTAGGTTCTGGAATACACCACCTGAGCACGTAGAAGCAGCAGATTCAATCATAACTTCCAAAAAGGGAATTGGACGTTAACCTAATTGAGAAAATAAAATTACAGGGTTATGGGGAAAAAGGTAGAAGAATGGGACTAGCTAAGCTCTTCTTAAAAAGGACACAATTGAACAAGTGTCCTTTTCCCATGTAACAACCATTAATCGTTCCAGATCCCTCCAAAATGGAATGAATCGGAGCTCAGTAGCACTTACATCCAAATCACAAGGCTGTGGTTTATTTCAAAATAATCATAGCATAATACCCACAATGCTGCAAAGCACGGTCAAGCACCAAAACGATCAGGTGCAAATTCTCTCTTTACCAAGTGGGTACACAATGATTATGCTATTGAGAGTTTCTCTTGCAAAAGAATAGCTTTTGAAGTAACGATTCCTTAGCACAAAGGGTTTGGGCAGACACTAACAGGCAGTTTTTTAAAACCTTCAGGAAAATGAGACAAGTATATTAGTGCTAGTACTCTGAAGCACTTTGCCAAGAATTGTTGTTAATCCAGTCATGCATGTATACCTACTGGGTACTCACTGAAAATGAAATTCTTTCAGGTCTGCATACACAGGGCATGACTACTTCAGACTTAATTACGTAAATTACTGAAATCTTCTTAACATACTTATATTCTGGCAGATGTTTCATAATTTTATACAAAAAAAACAACACTCTTCAATTTCCAGAGAGAACTCGAACAGAAAAGTTCAAACCTGTGGTGATTTAACTGGTAGCTATCATTCAACAGCACAAGGAAAACAAATTCCATCCATAAATGCAGTTCTCTTTCTGGCTCTTATAAAGGATTACTAACCTCACACGTAGTACAGATCAGTCTGTTAAAGTTGACTGTGTTACTACAACAACTTGTATGCATGTAGTAATAAAGTGTCCCAAGATATTTTATATGAGAAATATAAAACAAATTACAATACTAAGCCAATAAGATCATTAGGTCAGACAACCAAACATTTGGCAAAAAGGTATATTTTAAAGGAGGAAAACAAGGAAGAGGTGCAGAGAGGGGATATCCCAGACTTCAGGGCCAAGGCTACTGAAGGCAGTCCCTCCAATGTCAGAGCAATTAAATTCAGGAATACTTGAAAAACCAGAATTTGAACACAGACAGCTTAGAAGATTGGGCGATGGAAAACGTTATACAGATAGGTTCCAGGGAGGGATTTGAAAGTGAGGACTAACACTATAAAAACAAGACACTGTATGACTGAAAGCCAGGTTTGCCAGGAGTGGTAAATGAGACCGGGCACGAGTCAAGATACATGCAGTATTTTGGTCTGTTTACAGAGGACAGATCCGTCAGGAGGTTGGTATAATTGACAAATCTAGAGCAAAGGCATGAATGAAAACAAAATCTCAGCAACAGAATTTTTTTTTCCTACAAGGTATATGTAGGAAAGTCGAACTACTTTTGACTTTTGTGCCGAGCTGAAGACAACGCATTAAAAAAAAAGCTGTACCTAACTCATGAACCTGAAGTAAACTTCAGAAAAATCTGGGAAACCTTAAATGCAGGTAACCTTCCACAGTTCGAAACCAGTTCACTCATCTCCTGAACATAATGAAACGACAAAAGCGACCAACTAAAACAATTTTACGCTACTAATTTGGAGATTCACCGATTAAAGCATTACACAGGAAACCATCTTCGGGTCCGTATCGAGATTTAACTGTGCTGAATGTTTCTGCCAAAAAAAGTCGCTAGTCACATCCTCAGATACTGCTCCTTTCACTTCACCCTCTGCCTTAATTGATGAATATTGGAGTAAAGAATATACTCTCGTTACAACGTGTAGTGATCTTCGTGTACCGTTTCCATATAGATAAACCCAATGAGCGGGAAATGCAAACACGAAGACTACACATAAATTGCACATAGCTGAACCATCTCAACAGACAGGGTACAGCTAAGTTGTACAGGCAGATGGCTATCTGCATTTCATGGCAATGGTTGTGAAGCCCGTAGTTTGTTTATTAGGTGGGTGATTTTGTTGTTACACTGACCGGGTCCGTAGAATTTCTTTCCTTTGGTCACATCGAAGACTTTGCCGTTGACGGCGAGCAGAAGCCGCGGGTTCTGGAGCCCGTCGTACTCACGCAGCTGCTCCAGGCTGAAATCGCGTTTCTTCATCTTGGGCAGTTCAGGCTCCTTGCACTCAGTCTCCGTGCCGCCCCTCCTCCTCCGGTACAGTCTGTACACCCCGAGCAGAGCCAGTAGCAACAGACAGACATTGAACACTAACCCGCCGACACCAAAACCGGCCATCCCGGCCGCTTCCTCCTCCTCCAAGGACGGGCCACCTCCCTCGCCACCACCAGCACTACCACTATTGCCTTCCACATTGTCCGCCATAATGCACGTTAGCAACCTCACCAGCAGCGCGTACCCACTCCAGTATAGTGGCTCCCCATTGGCAGTACCTCCACCAATCACACATCACCCCGCGTCTCCAATGGGAATTGTAGTCCCCGAACCCGCGGCCTCCGCCCACAGCTGCACATGCGCCTGATGGCCGTGCGGCTCAGCGATGATGACAGGCGCCGAGCGGAGTGCTTGCGCAGATTGTCAGATGGCCGCGGTGCTTACGTGGCGCCGTTAGGATTCGGCACGTGGAATTCAGTTAACCCGTAGGTCAAGGTAATGGAGCGGAGTTTGTTATTAGGAATGTCTCATTTACAAATTTTGCTGTGCTTATATGTAATAAAGGCGCTAGGAACGTAATGTAAAATGTTCAGCTGTGGATTATTAACTACAGAACTTAATTTCTATCATCTTCATGCAGAGAGTTCTGGATTTGGTTCTCTAATCTTTCCTTTTTGAAAGAATAAACCTTGATTAAGCCTGGACCGTCTCCTCTTCAAAAAAAGAATATTGTTTAGTTCCCAGATAACGAGATGTAGAGCCGGATGAACACAGAAGGCCAAGCAGCATCAGAGGAGCAGGAAAGCTGACGTTTCGGGTCTAGACCTTCAGAAATGTTTAATTCCGGCTCTTCCTGCCAACCTTTGGTTCCAGTCTATCTGGCCCAGACCCATTCTTGCCCTGTTGAAGTCTTCTCTCTGCCAGCTGATTATCTTCACGTTGGTCCATGCAATGTTATTTTCCACCATCATCTTAAACCTTATAATGCAATGTTCACAGTCCCCACCCCCAAAATGTTCCCTCGTTATCCATCGATCTACTTGGCCAACCTCATTACCAATAAGCAGGTTTTGCAGTACATCTTTTTAGTTGGACCAGACACATACTGCTGTGGGAAATCCTCCTGTACAGAATCTAAGAATGCCTGCTCAACATTATCACCATCCCAGTTTATATGTGGGTAAATAAAGTCCTCAATTATAACTACTCAATGGTGTTTACACTTCTCTAATGTTAGTGCAAATTTGCTCCTCCTATAACCTTTCCACTAGTTTTTGGTTTATAGATCACACAAAATTATATAATTGCACTCTTCTTATTCCTTAGCGACATCCAAATGGATTATGTCCTTGAACTATCTGAAAGATCCTCTTTCTCCAGTGCTGCAAGAGCCCCCTTTACCAAAAATGCCATCCTTTTACTCCTCCTGTTATTCCTTTCCCATCTTTTCTGAACATCTCATAGTCAGGAAAACTTAACACTCAGATCTGCTCTTTTTTAAGCCAAGTCTGTGTTATCACTACAACACCATAATCCTACGTGGCAATCTGTGCCTTATTAGTTATACTTATGCATTAATGTAAACATTGTGTAGATCTGATTTAGTCTTAATTAATTTCTCCCTTACTCCTACACTAATCAAATTATTACGCTGTATTTTAGCACTGTTTGTCTCTTGCAGAATTTAGTGCCCTTTGATATTATTCACTAATATTCATACCTCTGCACTCCTAATTTAGACTCTACCAACTGCACTATCAAAATATATTTCTGTTATTGTCCATCCAGATAGATATACTTACATTAGCAATGTAAACAAAACCTAATGTTTATCTTTTATTATTTTATAGTAATTCTCACATTGAGAGTATATTCCAATGTATTGTGGTACAGTACCACTTTGCTAAACAGTAGTAAATTTTAAACAGATCAAACAACATAAAACTGAGTGTCCATGAGGTGCTGCTGCTATCAACAGCAACAAAATTTCATTCAACCACAATTAATGGCTGAACATACACCGCCATGAAAGTATGACAGAGCCTGGGTGTAGCCGTTGCTTGGTGAGTGCAGAAGGTTATGACAAGAATGTAGAAGCAGGAGTAAGCCATTCAGCCCCTTGAGTCTGATCTTCCATTCGAACTCATAGCTGAACAACTACTTCAATGTTATTTTCCCACATTATCCCCATATCCTTTAATGTCATTAACTCGAAATCTATTAAGCTCTGGCTTGAATTTATTTATTGACTGAGTTTCATAGCCCTCTGGGGTGGTGAATTCCAAAGGTTCATCATCCTCTAACACTTTGTAAAGACCATATCTTTTTGAGAATGTAGACATATTGGCCGAGCCAGTGGGTTTGGTTGCAAACACTTTGTCACCCTGCTAGGTAACATCATCAGTGCACCTCCGGTGAAGCGTCGGTGTTCTGTCCCGCTTGTTACTTATATGCCTTGGTTTGCTAGGATGATTGGTATTATTTCCGGTTTTGTTTCTCAATGGTTTGTATACAGGATCAAATTCCATGTGTTTGTTGATGGAGTTCTGGTTGGAATACTAGGCCTCCAGGAATTTCCTGGCGTGTCTCTGTTTGGCTTGTACGATTATTGATGTGTTGCCCCAGTCGAATTCTTGTTCCTCGTTATCCATGTGTAGTGAGACAAGTGAGAATTGGTCCTGTTTCTTGGTGGCTAGGTGGTGTTCATGTATCCGTATAGTCAATTTTCTTCCAGTTTGGCCTATGTAGTGTTTCTCACAGTCCTTGCATGGTATTTTGTACATTACCCGAGTTTTGCCGGTTTTGGGTGTGGGATCGTGGGATCCTTTACGTTCGTCGGTAGCTGCCATAGGGTGGTTGTCAGTTTGTGGGCTACTCTGATACCTAGGGGTCTAAGTAGTCTTGCTGGAAGTTTTCAAAATAAATCGATACCTGAAAAGCACAATATGCCTTTATCTCTGAAACAGACCACAACAGGAAGCCAGAACACGACCAGAATCACCTTACCACCCTATCGTACATCAAGGACATTACAGAGATGACCGCAAGACTACTCAGACCCCTTGGTATCAGAGTAGCCCACAAACCAACAACCATCCTACGGCAGCTACTGACGAACGTAAAGGATCCTACACCAAAAACTGGCAAAACTGCGGCAATGTACAAAATACCATGTAAGGACTGTGAGAAACACTACATAGGCCAAACTGGAAGAAAATTGACTTTACGGATACATGAACATCAACTAGCCATCAAGAGACACGACCAATTCTCACTTGTCTCACGACACATGGACAACGAGGGACACGAGTTCGACTGGGGCAACACATCGATAATCGCACAGGCCAAACAGAGACAGGCTAGGGAATCGCTAGAGGCCTGGTATTCCAACCGGAACTCCATCAACAAACACATGGATTTAGACCCTGTGTACAAACCACTGAGAAACAAAACCGGAAGTGATGCCACCCACCTCAGCAAATCGAGGCAGATAAATAACAAGCAGGACAGAACACCGACGCTTCACCAGAGGCGCACTGACGATGTTACCTGGCAGAGTGATGAAATGTTTGCAACCAAATCCACTGGTTCGACGGGCATGCTTACAATCTCATCCACAACCCGAGCTACAAATCTTCTTGAAAATACCATATCTTTTTATTTTTCTGTATTGTTGATTGTGGATTAAAACACAAAAAGAATTGGGGTTGTTGAAAGATTGCTGCATGTTTTAAAAACAATTTACCTGACAATCTTTCTAAGTGCCTTTTACACAGATATTGTTCAAGAAGTGGAGGAAAATCAAGTTACAAATGAGCTGGTGCCAAGGGGTGCATACAAATAGGCTTCAGCTGGCATTAAGTAGTTGATTGGTCTGAGGTTTGGTGAAGAGTTGTTGATGACAAAGGCCTTCCGCCTGCCAACATCTAGTTGATTGGCCCCAGGCTAGCTGAATAGCTTGTGAATGACAGTATTTGGAAAGAAGCTATTGGATTTCCAAAAAGGAAGGAGTTGTCCCTTTACCTTGTAATAAAACTATCTGAATCCTGAAGCAAATCAATTTATTTTTCCCTCATCAGTTGCTGTAAGCTGTAGCTTTCTAACCAGTAAGTTAGAGACTTTAGAAGTGTGAACCAGCTGGCCTATGCTGCCTGCTAGCAAGTGAAAGTATCAGTAGATGGAAGATCAAGGAGCAGTATACCCTGACAAGCCAAAACAAAACTCACCAAACTCTGTGAGCAGGGACCATTGAATTATCTGTCCAGTTTTTCTCACTGCCTATAATACCCATGTCTTTTTTATCTGTTTGTGTGTGGCGAGGGAGATTGATAAGCGGATTACTCACTGGGGTAATATGCTGGAAATAGAGCCTCACAATTCACAGAGTCATTACGAAAGTAAAAGGAATTATCTTCCATTTAGATAAAAAATCTTTCATATCTCTCATCTGTCCTATGTACTTCTTCTACATTCACATCAGTGTCTTATCTCCAGTCACTGTTGTAGTTAAAGCTACAATCTGATCCATGGCCTTTCCTTTTGAATTGACTTTTTAGACTTATTCTTACAAGCTGTAGTCAGTCCCATGGCTTTCCAGTTCAATTTCTAGTATTCTGAGCAAAGGTGCGCCATCTTGTTAGAATGAAAACACTTTGGCTTCCAATTCTCTCATCCACCTTCAGTAATTTCCTTTCTGATTTGAAGAGAAGACCTTGGGACATTCCCACCTATCCATTTCTTAACTTGGCTGCTTGCCTTCCTTTCACTTTCCTACCTTCTACGTCATTCAAATTTATGAGGGTGACAGAAAAAATCTTCAGTTTTATGGATTAGCTTATAATCATCAGTCATTATTACTGTTTGTCCAGCAGTTGTAGGCCTTTATTCCGTTAAATTCTTATAATGATGGCAGTGAGTTTTTAAATTTCTCTGAGAGAATAACCTCTCTAAGAGCTATATACATGGTTTCATCTTTAATGTCAAAATTACTTGCTTAGCTCTTTCAAATTCAATGTAGGTTTACTCAGACTGCTTCCTTAAATTCTAGAACCTCTTGCTTATGTGTCTCAGCACTAACTCCTATGCAGCCAATATAGTCTTTTCAGTCCCATAATCCTAGGAAAGCTCCACTGTGAAGCATAAATTTCCTGTGCTTTATATGTTAACCTATTCTCATAGGCAATGTCCAGGTCTCTTTTGCCCAATTCATTTGCCAAGGCATTTTCACAAATGACGTGA